ACTAGTAAAAAGTAAATTAAAAACTGCTGTATCAAAAAATGACTGCCACAATAATAGAGTAAGAACAAACGACAGAATGTTAAGTAATCACCACCCTTAACATATTTTTAAACTCCTTCACAAAAACATACAAATTAGGGTTGTCAATAAATACTCAAGCTAAAAATTGTAACAAATCACTATTGAGGAATGTCCGTGTAAGAACGTCGAAATTCGTTTGATTGTCAGCTGAAACTTAATAGTGTTTAGAATAATCACTTTTCAAATTCTCTTGATTTCCGCAGGCAATTAAACAAGTTTTAATATTTCTAATAATGTCTCTCATAACAGTGAATAATATTAAATGGTGGTTTTGCTTCTTACCTAACTTAAATCTCAATTTTTTTTTACTCCTTAGGTGTATGTTTTTTTACTTCATTCCTGAAAAGGACTGTAAAAATATATATTAAGATTGTGATTGCAAAACACAGTAAATATTACACAGGTTGAAGACATCGTTAAGATGAAGATTATTAAATGTATTTTGTCTCATTGACTTAACTTATTACCCTTTATATTATTGGTGTAGATTCTCTTTCGTAGACCAGATGAAAAATTATTTTTAAATAAATGATGGCAGAAGAAATGAAAAATGCCTCAAACAGAATAGGATTGATATTGAAATGAATGGAACACTGTAATTGTCATACGAAAATACATATTTATATGCAGCAGAAGCAAGTTGGCGATATTTTTTTTTTGAAAACTAGAATTGCAATATTTTTAGTAAAATCAGAGCATAGGCAAAATAATTTTTTTTGTTTCTGTTCATTTACTGGATGTCGGTTATTATAATTTAAAAAAGAAAAAATTACAATGTTATTGTATTAAAGCAACAATTTCCATAAACTAGTTTAACAGACTTGTGTTAGTTTGTGAATCCTCAACAAAATTTAAATATCGAAAAAGATCATTTAAAAAAAGAAAAAAAAACAGGAATGAAGGGGTTAATAAATATCCCACAAAAGAGAGGCCAGACTGGAAAAACTATTGTGATGATGGATATGAAAATAGCTGAAAAAAAAAAACACAATACATTAGTGGAAATAAATAACTAATTTCATTAAATTTTTTTTTTCTAGTTTCACTTGATTTAAAAAATTGAGAAAAGATCTGAATGGTTGGCAGTTATATTAAAGACAAATATTAGAATAAAGTGATAATCGATCTGAGGAATTGTTTTATTAATACTTGTTTTAAAAAAAGTACTGCGGCTAGATACCGGATATCTGGCTCAAAGATTGGCCGGATATCCGTCATCAGGCCAAATTAAGATCCGTTGCATCACTAATGCCTAGCATAGAAAATATCATTCAGAAAACAGGGTTCATACAGAGATCAGAAGAAGAAATCCATATGTATGAGTATCCAAGGAGTCCAAAATTTTAAGGACTTATCCAAAAACTTTGTGTAAAAGATAATTAGGCAGTTTTTTTCTTTAAATTAAAAAAGCAGTTATTATAAGGAACTCACAAAAATGTTGTATAGTTTGCATATTTTTTTCTAGCGCTTTTGAAATAAATTTTGACTTTGTCAAACTTCAACAAGAAAAATAAATAAAGTTATCACATTTACACATAAATACATTTTCCAGTCTCAATTATTTTAATTAATCCTGTTAAAGTACACATGTTAAAGATTAACATAAAAACCGACCAATCTTATATTTTTAAACTTGAATACGTAAGAAAGGCGTTTTATCTAAGGTATTTTAAACGGGAAAAAAAATATATCACAGTAAATTATTAATTAAGTTTGCTTGTAACATGTAAAATTAAAATTATTTGCTGCTATTTTTTTCTTCCAACTCTTGCAAATCAATTTTTTTTCTTTCAAAGTTTTTCTTTAACTATTAGATCTTGACAGCTAAGTCATATCATTTCGTTTCCCTGCTTGGACAGCAAATTCAACAGCGGACTTAGTAAGTTCATCTATGCAACGCAATAATTTAAGGAGTTTCTAAGAACTAATTTTGAAATCTAAGTAGTTCCAAGTACTCCTTGAGGACCTTTTTATTTCCAGGGAGTTTCTAAGGAGTATAAGGAATAACAAACCCTGCATAAAGCGTGCAAACGAGTCCCGCTCGGGAGCAAGATTTCAACCGAAATGGTTAGAAACAAGTACTACTAGCGTAGTGACATTTCCCCCCAATGCGCATTGACGAGCTGAGCTCGTTCACCATTATTATTCTGCATTGATTATGTTACAAACGAATCCTACTCGCGAAATGTAGTTAGTTTTGCTGTCTACAGATGGCAGTACGGGTTCCATGAATTTCTTTTCATAATGAAGGGGGAATTTTTTTTTCCTTGTTCTTTTTATGCTTATTTTGGCACTTTTTTTAGGGTGTTTGTAAAGTAAAATGGCTCAAAAGCGAAAGTTAGCTAATTATGATGATGATTATGATTGTTAAAGATTTTTAGGTAATTACTGTAATTTTTTTACAGCGTGTACAAAAAGATGTTTAGGTAATTACTGTATTCAAATTCTTCATAAAGTTTTACATTAGTTGCATTTATCGAGCCCTTTCAATTTAATATTTGTCTTATACTTATAATTAACAATTACTATTTATATAATTGATTGTAATCATTTATAATGTACCATTAAATAATTATTCTTTATTAATTATTTTAACGTATGTAAAAACGGATATTTATGTATTATGTACTACATATACTTAAAGAAATTTTTAAAACGAGTGAGGCGAGCTATCTACGCCATCGCCAGAGAAGGGTGACATTTTCGGAAGAATGGCGGAGGAAAACAGCTGCCACCTTCGACTTCTGTTTACTCGTAATACTGTTACGAATTAAGTAAACAAAAACTGCCCATTTCCTTAACCGTCAAAGGGTTAATAGGCTTGTTTGGTTGCTACTTATAATATCCAATTAGTAAACAGGGTTGGCCCTCAAATTTGAAAAAAATAACTCCCTGTTTTTTCCCTGTGCATACTGAAAACAAATAATACTATAGTAAATGAGATAGTTTAGTATAGAAGATAAATCATCCTTACATATCCCATAGAATACGCTTTGTGAGGTCAGTACTTTTGGAAAGACGAAAATAAGAAATAAAATTCTATGCATTTTCCCATTTAGTAAGGAAAAACTCATAATTCCCCTCATTTTCCCTGTTATTTTAGGTGATTTTTAAATTCCCTGTATTTTCCAGGTTTTCCCTTGTTCTCCCTACTCCCTTTGTAGACAACCCTGGTATATTTTGTCTAAAGTAAGAACCATTCGTCTATACCCGTGGAGGGGACTATGGTAACAAGGTATAACTATTTTAAGTAGGGGTGAGGTGGGCGAAAAAAAGGGAATTTTTTTCTTCGGTCTACTGTGTTAGTCCTAGAGTGAAGAGAAGCTACCCTCTCTGAGATGCACTATTTTTGTTTCTATAGCAGCAGAGGACCTCAGAACTTGTGGCAGGGGAGTTCTTACCGTAGACAAACTATAAAAGATACATTAATAGAGTGAATACTGGGCAAGTATACACCAAGCAACAGATCACACATAGGGAATATTAAAAATGTATGCCTTTCACGAGGAAAAATAAAAGAATTTACTGGCTGTAAAGCATGAAAAAATCATATTTCGTATTGAGCTGGCTTATTTAACATTGTAAAAATATGTATACATGATGTGAAATGTCTAATATCACACTTTTCTGATCTATTTACGGTGTTTTACCTTAGTGGTAAAATCTGGGATTTACCTGGGGCTAAGTCGGTAAAAGCCCAAAATGAGGTATTTTTTTAACACGCGAAATTATTTTTAAAAATCATTGAAATGTCTTCAGTAGTTATTGAGTGAATTGTGCATTAGTTTAGCTTTTTCCCGTGGCATCTTATTTGTGAAATAGTCGAACTTTTTCTTTCTTTCTAGTAACTCTTTAAAAAATAATTATAAGTCAGTGACATCAACATAAGTTATATTAATACTGCCATAATGTTGATGAAATCATACCCTATTTTGATCACTTTGGCAGTTTACATTTTCAATTAAAAAATTAAAGTGTGCTTTAACACTTTCGAGACACGCTGTATGTAATATATGGTATTCTTCTGTTAAAGTGACGACAATTAAACCCCCCTACCCAAAAAAAAAGCCACTCATAAAAATCAAAAATTGCTGTTTATAATTTTTAATAACCTGGTTAATAAAGGGATGTGAATGCCATTGTCCAGTTTACCCTACACTGATGTTTTTTTAAGGTTAAGAGTCATTGCCTGGCATTTGTTTGAATGGCATACTAATTTTTTAAAGTGCCGTTGGCCCCAGTATTCCCTATACTGATTATTGAGATGAAGAGGTGCCTTTGTGTTCCCAAATTCCCTGACCGTGATTTTTTTTATGGTCCCTATTAAGGGAACAGTACCTAATATATCTGCGAATGGAAAATCTAATAAAATGTAATCCCTCCTTTTGAATTTTTACTGGAAGGCGTTGGTAACTTCTAGATTTTACATCAAAAAGTAGGTAAAAATCAAAAATGAAATCACATTAATGCATGCTTCAGGCTTGAATGAAGCCACTTTTATAAATCTTAAGATTTTACGGGTAAAATCTGAGAAGATTTCAAGTTTTTACAGTAACATAAATAGTAGTAGTAGTTGAATTATTTGAGGTAGAAAATGGGTAAAAACAATATTTACCCAGAAATAAACATAAATTTTACTTCCTAAAATAATCCAACGAAAGGTTTAACAACTGTATAAAAGCACAAATGTTGTATTCCTATAATTTAACTAAGAAAGAATATCTGATTTCAATTTTAAAAAGAATTGATTTAAAACAACTTTTTCAACAAAAAAAAAATCAAAGTCATTTTTAACATTGTTTTATTACATAAATAAGCACCATGAGAAAAACGTCATGAGATTCATATAATGTAATAAAGTTGAAATACTAAGTGTTTTGAATTCAACTTGCATTTTAAAAAAAGAAGTTATTTTTTAAGATTTATTCCTCAAGATCTTTCAAAGCATTTAAAATAAAAGGTTGTGTAATGGTATATTACTAACTCTGCCAACTACCAATTTCTTAATGTTTTGAAAAGTGTAGTGATTTTTAAATTATTGGTGGGGCAATTATCAATTTTTAATTTATAAAATTTGATAATAGCTTGAAATTTTTCAAAATTTTTTTATAAAGTTTTGCCCAAAAGAATATTACATCATTGCAAGTATGTTATCAAGAATTAAAAATAAATAAATAAAATAAAACAAAGAGAGAGAAAGAGAAAACAAAAATCAAAAATTTAATGTACGGTGAAAAAATATGGTTCTTAATTGTAATATGTACAAAAATAAGATTACATTCTAACAAGTGTACAGTGAAACCTCGCTACAACAATATTTTGGGGACCAAATAAATATATTGCAGAGGGATGCATTGTTATATCGAGGGCCTACATACTTTAGAGACAAAATAAGATTTTTTTAAAATTTTAATGTTATATATGTATTAACTATAAATGTGTTTATATATTATGCAAAAAATCAATTTGCAGAGTGTTAATTATTGTTAAATATGAAGAAAAAAAAAATTGAAATAAATTCAGAAAATAAGATAAGTATTCACTGTTAAGTCAACCAACGAAGTATGCGTTCAAAGCACGAAAAGGATTTTGAAAGACATGAATCGTTTGATGATGAGATGAATTGTTTGTGAAAGGTGCTCCACCCACACTCCGCAGAAAATATTCTCTTTCAGGTGTTATCGTGATGGTTATGGTCATTTGTGACTCATGGTCAGCTTTTTACATGAATTAAATGAAATCAGAGAGGGATGTTATATTTGTGACTTCTTAAGAGATAAAGGATGCGATTCTATCATAGCTGCCAACCTTAGGAATTAAAAACTAGAAACACTATATGCGACAAATTATACGCACCAATTACGAGAGTAAGGCTAAAGTTTAACTATCAAATAATAACATTAATAGAAGTATATTTAAATGCCTTATGTAAATTATTAAAATAAAACTTTAATCACTATCTTTTGTGGGAACTTTATAATACTAATATTTTATATTATTAAAAAAAAACAACTATTACCCATTAATATATAATTATTCTTCTCCAAATTATAAAACTCAGGTAAATATTAAACTACATCATAAACAAATATTTCTGATGAAAATGTTTAAACACACTACAAAACATTTAAAAAAAATAATAATAATAGTTGTTTTAAATTCACTTTAGTGAAATGATCAGCAACAGCTATTAGAATAGTATTTTCCAATATAAAGCTACTAAAAATTACTTCTGCACAATAATCACAGGAAGCGCAATTGCGGTGATCAGAACAGGGAATTGGGTTAAAAGCAAAAACACTGTAATTTTACAAAAATTCGGATTTTTTATAAAAATATCAGATTTTCAGTTTTGATTTAAAAATTAGGAACAAATCCGAAAAATTCTGGATAGTTGGCAGCTATGTTCTATGAATGGAAGCTCTTAGGGTGGTCAGCAGTCAGAAAAGATGGAAAAAATGGCAAAAGATAATAAAATAAGATTTTTTTTTAACATTATTTAAAAATCAATAACAAATGGAAAAAACAAGGTTGAAATTTAGGGAAAAAATCAATTTACAGGGATTCATTGCATCAAAAAATATTGTAATATTGAGAGGAGCATGACATTTATTCATGTGCAAGTTCGTCGGGACCACGAAATATTTTCGTTACAAAGGGAGTTATTATCGTAGTGGCGAGAGTTCACTCTGTATGATGAAAAAAAAAATCAAGCAAATACCAAAGATATTGAAAGAAGAGTTCACCTTTTCTTGTAGATGAAATTACAACAAGGATTTTTCAACCATTATTCTGTCAAATCCTGATGGAGGCTGGTGAGTAAATGTGGCGAAAGCTGCATCAAGTATTGCACCATCATCAACTAAATAAATAAATAACATTCTTTTTGTTAGGCTGACAACTTTGCAAAAAAAGAAAGATTCCATATATGGCTAAGCAATAACAATTTAACATTAAAAAAGAAGAAAAAAGAAAATGATTTTGATTGGTGTCAAGTTCTCAATTTCTGCAAAAATGTTTAAATCTTGAATTCTGCAAGTTTTAATCATTTGTTATCAGACACTGCATATATCCTTAATTATAGGCAATAAAGATAATCAAACTAAGGTGAACAACGTTTAAGAGCACGAAAAATATTTATAAATGCAGACAGCTGTTTCGGATGCTCAAAGGGCAACCTTCATCAGTGCAACAGCAAGAAATGAGAGAAAACAGGGTAAATATATGGAGAAAGGTGACGTCACAAGGGGGGGTTAGAGCAACGGCCAATAGGAGGGAAGGGTGAATGGATGACGACGAATGGAAAGCAAGGAACAAAAAAAGGGGGGGTTAGTTAGGTTTAATCATAGATTTCCAAACAGGAGAAAAATAAGGAACGCTGGATAAGTTCTTCAATTTTTGATTTAGATTTTTATGAGTCCTATAATATTTTCAAAAATTCCAAACTCTTGGTCTATGACCTATCCAGCGTTCCTCATCTTTCTCCTGTTTGGAAGGAGAAATGATGAAGGTTGCCCTTTGAGCATCCGAAACAGCTGTCTGCATTTATAAATATTTTTCGTGCTCTTAAACGTTGTTTACCTTAGTTTGTATTTTAACACAAAGATCGCCCACTTGTGTATTTAATAAAGATCATCATTTAAAAAAAACATATTACAGGGTTGCCCCAGGCGACTAAAATGCAACTATTTTTGGCCTGAGGTGACTGTGGCAACTTTTTTTACCTGAAAAGGCTTAAAAAGTAACTATTTTCAGGAAAAGGAGACTATTAGGAGACTTTTCTGTACTCTTTGCAATGTTTTTTTTTCATAGCATAAATTGAGTTGCACAACTTGCAGTCCACGGGAGCTTCTGAATAAAAGAAAAGATTTCTTATACTATCATTTATGTCTAAAATGCCGAAATTTTAATTTTCCATTATATTTAAAGTGCATTTTATTTTTTCTCTGATTTATAATTTTGTTATTTATATAAATTGTTTTTTCTTTCTATCAATATTAGCCTTAATTTTTTACTGTTTTCAACTCTTATCTAGTTACAAATTTTCTGCTGTGCAAATTTTAAAAAAAAATTTATAAAACTTTTTTTTAAAATGGATTATGGTGTATGACAATTAAGTCACTCAATAAAATTTTAGTCATATTTTTGTTCCTATTTAGGCAACTATATTCATAGTTTTAGGTAACTATTTTCTTGCTTTAGACTACTAAAAGCAACTATTTTGTTCATTTTTTTCTGTAGTAACCCTGATATTATGATCTGTTCAAAGAGAAAAAAAAAGGTTACTTTCTCAATGCCTCAAATAAATTTTTTAAAGTTAAAAATTATCTTAAATATTTTACAATCTGTGAATTAAATTTTTGTAAAAAAAAATAATGATAATTAATCTTGAATTGCCTGAAACTGTTAACCAATGGATTTAATGTAGAGTTTACCCTGAAGGTGTTCTTTCTAAACAATATTAATATTTATAAGATTTATCACTGAATTTTTTTCAACAACTCTTGAAGTTTACTCAATAAAGCTGTATAAATGTTTAATATAACAAGTGGAAATAAAAAAAGTAGATATTTTTATTTAATTTCTAAGAGCATGCCCATTAGTAAAAAAGCAAACAAATTTCTCCAGACATCTGTTTTTTGACACTTGATGTTCTTTCAAATTCTTTTAATAAACATTAAAACTGTAACATAAAAATTGCAAAATAATGAAGTAACCATTTCCTAAAGTTGGAAGATTTATAAATAAAAAGAAAAGATTTAAAAGGTGCACAGCTTTTGAATGAATCATGTGCAATTGTAGCCAAAAATAAATAAATTGAATTTTACAAAAATGCTTGAATTTTATAAAATTCATTTCTATAAGCTACAAAAAGTACTAAATTATTACATAAATCTTTCGAAACAGAAAAATAATAAATTTTTTTAATTTAAATGCTCCAAAAAAAAGTATCTTTAATTAATATACATGTTTGAAAATGCACAAGGATTATTCAGAAAATAGTCTGCGTTTGTTTAATGAAAAGTAATAAAATAGCTTTTCTGCAGAGAAAAGTTGGAAACCAGCTATATTTTCTTGATTACTTTTAAAGATAAGAACACAGGAAAACCCTTTTAACACTGCATACATATATATTGTAATTATATATAAACTTTAGTACTTTATTCATATTATTCTTAGAACAGAAAAGAATAAATAAATTAATGCAATCACAGAAGAATGAACTCTTAAATGAGGTAGAAAATCAGTGACATTTTTGAAAGAAATTTTATTTCCCAGTTATTGATCTTATTTTGGAAAACTGTCAGTATTTATTCTACTATCCAATTTGCATAATATCAATGGCAACAAGCAATATTTGAAAATAACTATAAAAATGATTTAGAGGTAAAAATATATGACAACTTCTTGCCGGGATAATTGTGACACAGAGTGAAAAACCTTGAAATTTTTATTTGTAAAAACTAAATATTAAGATATCAATTTATGTACCATACATGTTTAATATAATTATTTTAACTAATACTTATAATTAAATTATCTACCAATCACAACTTAAAAATAACTAATTTAGGGAAAAACTTACATTGTACAAGAAACGTGATGCATAATTTTTAAATAGCATAAATACGAATCTAACTTACAAATTATGCTGAATACAAAAATCAATGTTTGATATTATGTGAGTGAATACAAATCATAATATAGGATTTTAAAAAAGCTGCTAATAGGAATTGTGACATTGGATTTTAAACTCTTGTGAATACGAATCCCGATATTGGACTTTAAAAATGTTTCAATACAAATCACAATATTGATTTTTAAAACTATTGAATGCAAATCTCTATATTGGAATTTTAAATCGTGTGACTAATGTCGCAACAATTAATGTTAAAATTGTGGACATATAAAATTGAGATATTAGTGAATTCCGGCACAATTTCAAATATTGAAAATGGCAAAAATTCACCAAACCAAAAGAATCAAATCGGTGGAAGAATAAGATTTACATTAACGTTTTATGAATGGTATATAGGTATATAGCAAAAGTTTAAAAATGTAAATTTTATACTGCCAACTCTGTAAAAATTTTGTTGTCTTATAGGTTTCATAATCCTATGAAATATAAAAAAAAGCCATAGTAGTCCGATTGTAAGTTTGTAATCAGTGGAATTCTGCAAAATTCGAGAAAAAAATGACCCGACCTTAAATTTTAGACTTGGAGGGATGATACTAAAAGCTTGGAATTCTCTGATACATCAGGAATACAATCACTATTGTTCTTGCTTCTGACGAGCAATGCGACAGCTCCATTTCTCGGCCAATCGTTGCATTATCAAAAGAGAAAAAAGCAAAATCTTTAAATTTGCAGAATTACAAAATGTTACAAGCTTATTTACTCAAATTTAGTAAAATACTATTTTAAACCTTCATTTTCTCAGCACTTCAACTGCATATTCACTCATATAGATGTGACAATAGGTTCAATGGTACAACAGTTACTTTGAGAACATCAAACTATTCACTTATATAAGAACAAATAAATTACAAGGAAGAAGTATGTAGTTAAACAGCAAAATAATCTATACAAACCATACAAAACGGGAAAAACTTCGCCCTTAGCTCCAGTGACAGGACACAAAACATTCTTTCCATTTATGAAAAAGTTGATTTCAACATGGTCATAAAAAACTCCCTAAAAATCACAAATATACAATTAATTCAATAAATATATATTGTAATAAATAATATAATTGTTGTATATAATTAATATATAATACTTTGTTTTCTTGTAATTCAATTAATTACAAGAAAACAAAATATTGCCATTAAAGGGTTTTACCCTTCTATAATTCAAATAAATGATTTTTATAATTTTGAATTTAATTAATTTTAATTGAATTAATTTTACAATATACAACAAATATACAATTAAAAATTAATTCAATAAATATATATTGTAATAATTAATATAATTATTGTATATAATTAATATATAATATTCTGTTTACTTAGAATTCAATTAATTATAAGAAAACAAAAGATTACCATTAAAGGGTTTTACCCTTCTATAATTCAAATGAATGATTTTTATAATTTTGAATTGAATTAATTTTACAATATACAACAAATATACAATTAAAAATTAATTCAATAAATATATATTATAATAATTAATATAATTATTGTACATAATTAATATATAATATTTTGTTTTCTTGGAATTCAATTAATTACAAGAAAACAAAATATTACCATTAAAGTGTTTTACCCTTTTATAATTCAAATGAATAATTCTTATAATTTTGAATTGAATTAATTTTAATTCAATTCATAAAATGATTTTATAAAATTTAAAATTATAGCGTTCTGAATGTTATACTAAAAATACAGTTCAAAACAGATGACATGTTTGATAATGGATTTTGATAATAAAAATCCATTAAAAAAATTTATCAGTTTGCTTCATGTCTGCACCACTAAATATTTGTGGAAGAAAAAAAGGAATTAAATTGTTTTTTTGCAATAATTGTTTTCACCAGGAATTTATGAGAGTTATGAGGAATTTCAGAAAACTACAGAGTTTCAGGAGAATCGTTTTAAAATGAAAATAAGAGCGCTGAATTTTTTTTAACGTAACTATTACAAAATACTGGTTTGTAATTAATCTTATAATTAGAAGAAATAACAAATCTTATGATCAGAATGACTTACCCATTAACCCTATGATTAGAAAAAAATATCAAGAATATGGAACACACAATGAATGAATTGGTAAATTACCCAATTAATGAACATAAAATGGCTTTCCCCACAATGCCTTAAGGTTTTTGATTTTGTATATTATCTCAATATCTGCTTAATTCAAATATTTTATAATAATACTATAAAAAAAATAATAACTCAAACAGAATAAAAATGAGTTCATTAATCAAATCTCTAACTTTTCAAATTATTTACAATTGTTTCAATAAAGAGAGGTAATGTATCTGTATAGGGAGAATTCATTATTTTGGGAACAAGAGGAATTAGACGAAAACAAATCTGGTACAAATTGGTGATAGCCAAGAGATATAATCCCTTATCTGTCCTCCATGATCTCTCTTACACAATTTTGTATGATTTTGCCTATTTAAAATCCTAGTTTTCTTGTGTTTGCTTCGTAAATATTTTTCTTAGTTGAATTAGATAAAAATACAAATTAAAACATATTTACACAAACTTTTTACCTTGCTTTTTAAACCTGAGAATTTCAATTTTCATTCAGTGCTCTCTTGGAAGACAAAAAAAAAAGTACCAAAAGAAGATATATTTTAAGCACGCTAGTTAACATGCAAAATAATTCTCTTTACTTAATATATAAATCATATTTTTAATATATAATCATATTTTAATCATATAATTATACTATAATATACAGGGTGTCTATAAAAGAACTCCGGGGTTTTGAGGCAAAATATTTCAATGAAATAAAAAACATACATACATGTTTTATACATGACTGAAAAGCTTACATTTTCAAGTTTTTTTTAACACTTAGTAAAGTTCTATATGAGCCCCGTTAGTGGCACGGCAGACGTCTAAACTGTATTCTACCTCTTCCCATGTCCTGGCGAGCATGTCTGGGGGGACGGTTGCCACACAATTGACTATTCGTTCCATGAGATGTTGAACATCACGAATTTTCTCTGCATACACAAGATTCTTGATAGGCCCCCAGAAGAAAAAATCCAACGGAATCCAAAAGAAAAAAATCCAAAATCCAAATCCATTTCAAGGTCAACGCCCTGCAGCGCCGCCAACAGTTGATACAAACATTCCCAATTGGTATGAGTAAAACTTTTTGAGGTACTTTTTTCAAAGAAATCGACTAAATTTTGCTATCTTTTATAGTTAGTGAGATATGAATTTTTAAAACCCCGGAGCTCTTTTATAGACACCCTGTATAATCATACTATAATATATAATCATATTATAATATATAATCATATTTTTAATATTTAATTATTTTTAATATATAATCATATTTTTTTCATAACTAATAATAAGGGGAAATAAAATAAAAATCTTATTAACACATTTTTAAGTTGACATTTTTTATGTTTTGCGTTCCTAAACCTCCAATTTTAATTAGTAGAAGGTAACAAATTAATTTTAAATAGTTGTAACATACATTGGTATAACATATTAAAGTTTTTTTTTTTTTAAAAATTCCATGACAAAATTTAAATACCTTTCAAATAAATGAAAAATAGATAGAAATCGATATTTCTAAAAAACTTTAAACATAAAAAGTTTAAAAATTTTAACTTCAAATAAAATAGCACATTCTTTTCTATTTAATTTACTTCATATTCATTTGCAATATTAGATGTCACATAGTAAATTTAACTTTTAACCAAACTTACAGCCAAATTGGAAATATTTGCTTTCTTAACATATTTCAAGAATTAAACAAATACTGGTTCTGAATCGTGCTTGTAACTGAAATGTTTGTTATGATTAGATTAAATCAGAATTAAATAGAAATTAGATCTTTGCTGGAACAATAGAAACGTTTTAAACACTTACATTAACATATGACAAAAAATATGTACCGAAAAATAAATACATAGTGAAACCTGCCAAGTTGACCACCCTTGTAAGTTGGGCACCTGCATAAGTTGACTTCAATTATCAAGAACGGAATTTTTCCTTTATAATATAAAGAAGCAAAACCTTTGTAACTTGACCACCTGTCTATCTTGTATGTTGACCACTGAAATAAGTCAATTTTGTCTAGGAGTATTACAGAATTCTATTCTAAAACCCTCATAAGTTGAACAGAAAAAAAAAATTCAGAAAATTTTCTGTCATTTTGGCAAAGCGTGTTAAAATTTCACTTGTTTGGTGAAATAGTGTAAAAAGCTAATCTAAACCCTTTTGTGAGTTGACCATCAGGGGAAACTGTAAGGGGTCAGCTTTTGACCATTTCTTTCATCCGTTCATTGAAAACAGGTGTGTTAGTTGAAAAGTTGCTCTTCCAGTTGCAATAGTGAGCATTTGAATAAATGAATGCTCTGAAATATGCTTTAATCCTTTATTTATGGTCTTTGATCTTTAAGGGTAGTAAATAAATTTTAAAGTGTGCAAATAATTTTATTTTGTTAAAGTTTTCAAATTACATGTTTTCGCGTTGTGATATTATCAGAAATTATATTTATTAAACGCTTCACATGCATAACTAACGAAATAATTTTTTTTTTTAAAAATTAGNTAATTTTTTTTTAAAAAATTAGTTAAATATTAGAATTATATGTATCAAATTGAAGTTCATTCAGGTTTAAGCGCATTTCTTAAGATATTCATTTGCATATTTTCTGAATAAAATTTTTAAGTCAAGTAAAAAAAAAATATTTATTTATAGCAGCGAAAAAGTAAACAATGACCCACCCCCTCTATAAGTTGGCCACTTGTCTAAGTTGACCACTAAAACAATGCACCAAAAGTGGTCAACTTACACAAGTTTTACTGTACAATGTTATTTATTCTTTGGTATCTGAAATATCAAGTTACTACAATCAAATTATCAATGCATCAGATGAGAGAATCCCTCACCAATCAATTTATAAACTAAAACCATACAACTGCCAACATTAGAGAAATAAACTAACAGAGATTTTTTACTAGCACATTTTTTTGGGGGGCTACGAGTAAAGTTTTGATACATCATGCAAAATTATTTAAATCAAAATTGTAAATAATATCAGCTCTTAGTTAGTGTGAAGTAAAAAATATGGATATAAATCTTAATCTAAAGATTTTTTTAAACCGTTATTTATAATTACTTAAACTAAATAACACTCAACACACTGCAGTACTGACAATAGCACCATCTGTTGAGGAATAAGAAAAGTATTTTTGCCATCAGCAGATAATTTATCACCAAAATTGTATTTAAAAATTTATTCAACAAATTTGAAGAAATTTTTAAATTCATTTCAAGAAATTTAAGAATCTATGGGTAAACAGGAGATAGTCATAAAATACAGGAATCTTCATTAAAAATCAGGAGGCTTGGCAGGTATGCCAAATACTAACAGTTTAACATATTATTAAGGAAATTACAATAATGCTATTTACTTACTTTTCTGTATTTAAAGAATCAAGTTAGTACAACTAAGCAATCTACAAATTAGTAGATAGAATGGGACTTTTTGTGCCTTAACGATAGAAGACTGCTAATGTGTACATTATCTGGGTAAATTGGGGGAAAACTCTTAATTCTGCACTTTAACAGATCATTCTGAACAATGTGCAAATTAACTAGCATAGGTAATCTGAATATTAATGATTATGAAGCTTTAGTAATAAATTAGGAAGCGAAACTCAGAACACTAGTAGAGTGTATACCTTTATTCAGTTGTTAGTAAAAAAAAAGATTTCTCTATATATATTTATTTTATATATAAAACAACAGATGAACATTAATAATTTACTAACATTTGATTAATCTAAAAAAGTGAGCTTACATAAAAAAGATCATTAGAATTTAATTTGCATGGAGGCATAGCATTTGAAGCAAAATGACTGATTTAAAAATCAAATGTTTAGAAATTTCAGGTATATAATTTATATGAACACAGAAAATGATGTATCCATGCAAATCCTGATATTTGCCTCCCTTCAAACAAATTTTATGCCTAATTTCAAAATACACAAATGATTCGCAAAATGGGTGCTTACATTTTCTTTAAAAAAA